GCAGACCCTGGCTGTAGAAGCCAGAGGCCTCTTAGTGCAGGAGTATGCGACTCTGAGCATATGTGTGGACAGCACCACACTGCACCACACCATTCTTCTTGGCACTCAGTCATAGGGTTGCCAGGGCCACCCTGGCCCGGTTGGGGAACTCTTCGGAGACCTGGGGCCGGAGGTGAGGAGGACAGGGACCTCACTGGGGTACACAATGCCGCAGAGAGTCCACCCAGTCCAAAGCATCCATTTCCTCCAGGGCAACTGATCTCTGTAGCCTGGAGATGAGCTGTACTTCTGGGGGGTCCCCAGGCCCCACCTGGAGGCTTCTGGCATCCCTAACCCATCTCTGCCCAAGCAACCAAGGCGCGGGCAGCAAAGGTGTGGTCAGCAGCGTAGGAGGATGCTGCAGGCATGACTCACAGCCACTACTGCTGAGACCGAGGCGCTCTCAGTGCTGCTGGGGTTTGGCTTGCGCCACTTGTGCCTGACCTCTTTCCCACCCCCCACCCCCCACCCCCCTGCAATGCTCTCGGGTGCAAATCAAAAAGTTTTGCTTTTTAGGAGGTAATCAGTTCATCCCAGCAGCCTTGAAAATCTATACTGCAAAAATTCTCCCTCAGCTGTTATATGGAATTCCCTTGTGGATTAACGCCTCTAATTCTTTCGGCACATCTTGGGAGTTTCCAAATGTCTTCCCTATTCATCTATATGTGCGGAGTTGGGTCTTCACCTTTTGGAAACTAAGGCTTGGATTATGGCTTTCAAATACTGGTTAAAAATTCATTTTAGATCTGAACCCGGAAGCTTGTTATCCTACTTAATGAAAGATCAGCACAGCACTGTTTGGTTTTCTATATTCATTCACAAACTTCAGAAGCTTGATACTGCGGTAGATTCCTTTCTTTTATGTGATGAATCATATTTTAAGGTAGATGTTGCATTTTTTTCTCCCAGGTCAAAATGTCCCCCTTCCAAATAACTGCTCTTGGGGTCATCTTCCATCTCTGGGACCGTAAC